AAGCTGAAAAACACCACTTTTCAGGAAACGAAAAAAAAAATTGTAATAACATCATTATCAATTCAGCTCAAATAAGGAGGTTGTTTTAATATCCACACTAGTGCTTTAGTTTAGTTGCTTTTACGGATGTTTGAAGATTTTGTATTTTTCATATTTAATTACAATTATTTAAATATACTTTCATTAAATTGCATTCATGGTTCGAAATATAAATTTTTCTCTTTTTTCAATGCAAAATAATGAATTCTATATATTCGCTAATTTGCAGGGCATAATTCAAGAAAACTCGGTAAGTAATTTTCAATGCAAAGTAAATAATATGGCAGAGTCAAGAGTTTGATACGAAGTTACATTATAAAACTGAAACATAAAACCACGTCAAACAATCGGAAATGACGTATTCTATGTTTTGCAGCGAACAGAACCATCATCTGTGCAGATACAAAAAGATCAAAATAATGAATGTAACGCATTCAACATTTTGCGACATTTTAATAAAAAAAAAATGTTAAAAATTTTAATTGAAGAATAATGAAAATCGTATTGTTAATACTTAATAGATATCATTAATAAGTCGTAGAACCTCAATAAACAAACCACATTTTCAATACATTGCAACTGCATTGTTTTTGTACTATGCAAAGGCAATACGACCCCGAGACTTTGCCACTGTATGCACGTAATAGGTAGAATGCACAATTGAAAATCGCAATTTGTCATATTTGATAGTTAGCATTTGTATCCAAGATATGAGCATTTAAGTTAACAGCATTACTAACTCTAACTTCAACATTTGTATTGTTAATTTTAGTGATATTTCTAGTGAGAAAATGTATACCTTTTTTCACAGTTCCATATCTCGACACTGGAATCATCACCTCTGGATTCAACTTACTCATTTTCTGTTCAGATATTACATATTTTCCTACTAGAAATGACACGAAAATGATAACTCAAAAATGTTGAAACTGGAGTTAGTCATTCTGTCAGCTGAAAGACTCACGTTTTATTAAACATTTTTCCGTGGCTCGAGTAAAAAAAAAATCTGTAAATCAGAAATCATAAACAATTCGAAAATCGTCGCTGATCCCCTTAGATTGAGATTCTATTCACCAGTAAATTAGAACAATTTTCATGAAAATTCCGATAAAATTTCAATTAAAATAGGGTTTGTTGATATTGATCATAGCCACTAAATGAATTCAAAAAGTCCCATTCAACGTCCCCCAGTCCTCTTCTGTCAGGAGCGAATGATAGTCTTTGATGTTTGTTTTTAATCTGTTTTCCTTTGTTTGTTTATTTGCTCCAGATAGCAATTCCTCTCTATTTTTTCTTTCGCATCTATATTCTCATAACTTCCCGATAAGAGTAGGATATATATATATATATATATATATATATATATATATATATATATATATATATATATATATATATATATATATCCTTATAAATAAATAGAAATGATAATTTTTTAAAATGGTTTAATTTACTTTGATACATGCAAATTGAAATATAAAATAATACCAATGCAAAGAACTTATAATAATTATAATTTTCATTATTCGTAAACACATTTTTTTTTTCTATTATGTTCGTGCTTTCATTAGAATTCATAGTTCCAAAGTCCTAATTTGAATTTTAGAATAATCCTGTTTGATTTACATGGATTCCGAAAAATGGAAAAATATTTAAATGGTACCATTTTTCGCAAAAAAAGTGGGAAATGGAATTTTTTATTTTGAAATCACGTTTTGAATGAATAGAAAGCAATAACTAAAAAAAGGGGGCGGCGGGGTGCACAGCAAACACGTGTTTCATGGCAAGTCGGACAGAAGATAATTTGATAAAATAATACTTAAGAGTTCGGGTCCTGATGCGTGGGACCTTTAACTCTGGCATTAATCCCCTGATACGAGAAAATCTCGTATAGCCTAAAAAGGCAAGAAAGAAGAGGACAAAAAAAAAAAAAAATTTAAGTAATTGAGAATTTCATCACAGGAAACTAGACACAGTTTTGCTTCAAATAAAGTAGCGTTTATCATTCGTAAAACTGTTTAAAGAGGACTTTAGACCGGCTAAACTAAGTCAAGTTCCGTGTTTGAAAAAATCATGAATTATTTGCGACTTTTTTTTTTTTACCCTTAAACTATACTTCAGTTACAACGTTTATAAAAACTCCCTTCTTCTTATTTCTTACTTCTAACTACTTTCATGTTGCAAGCACCATCGATCCGGCCCAAGGAAGATCCGTTTATTACATAAAAACTATTTAATAAGTCTGAAATCTAGTAAATCATTCTAACACGAGGTACTGCAACAGTTTTTGTATGAATTATTTCTTTTAGAAAGCTCGTTTTATAACCGAAGTGTCATTTATAGAACAAACTTTTATTTTTAACACAAGCCATGGCCCGCTTTACTTAATGGGGTACACAATGCAGCCCGCAGGTCTTAGTGGAGCTCTCAATGCGGCCCGCGAGCCAAAAAGTTTAAAGACTTGAAATGATGATTATCATCACAGTTATATTAAATTTGTAAAATGTTAGTGTTTTAAAAGTTAAATGGCTTGAAAATGGCGTTAGAAGCAGGAATGTTGCCATGGTAGCAACAATAACAAAGAATTGTTGAAATATATACAGCTTACATCATTCCATTAACTATTAAAGTATTTTTTACTGAATTATTTGCTTAATAGTGATTTAAAACTTTTTCGTTTATTTCCACTTCTGATACTTTTAGTATAAAATATTGGGTTGGCAAATAAGTCCTTCTGGTTTTTCAGTGTGATATAAGGCTCAATGTATTATAGACATAAAATTAATTTTAATCTACAATGTATTGACCATTATTCAATATGACTTTTTTCCATTTTTCCACTAGCTTCATAATGCAATGTTCATGGAATGTCTGGAGTTTATTGTTAAAAAACTGATCCAAGTGGGTTTTGATGCCCTCTTGATTTTGGAATTTCTTCCCATTCATGGAGTTTTGTAGATACCGGAATAAATGGTAGTCACTTGGAGCTAGGTCTGGTGTATTAGGAGGGTGGGGCAAAAGGTCCCATCCAAGGCTCAATCATTTATTTGGAATGAACAATGAGGCTTAGCATTTCCTTGGTGGATGACAACACCACTCCGTTTTTCCAGTTCAGAGCGTTATATTTTTATTGATTGATCCAATTTTGTTAATTGTGAGCAGTATAGAGTTGAATCAATTGTTTGTCCTGATGGCAATAGCTCATAGAAAAAAAAACACCCTTGAAATTCCACCATATGGAAAGAATTGTCTTCTTTGGATGCAATCCGGGTTTTGACATTCCTCTAGGAGCCTCACTACTAGGTCCCCATGATTTTCTACGGACTACATTATCGTAAAATATGCACTTTTCATCTCCTGTTACCGACCTTTTCAAAAAATGGTCGTTTTGTTGCCGTTTCCGTAATGAGTCAGATACAGAATTGCGTGTTGCCAAGTTGACTTCGGTTAGACAGTGAGGTACCCGAAGCTTGGAAACATAGCCGAGCTTGTGTAAATGATTTTCTATGTTGTGTGAGACACATTTAGGTCCATAGCAATCTCTCGCACTGATTGGGTGGGATTTTGATCACCAGCCATTGCTCATTTTAATATCATGTGGGCGACCAGAACTTTGAGCATCATTCATGTCAAAATTTCCTGAAACACATTTGGCAAACCAATTTGGACAGGTGCGTTCGGTTAAGTCATCATCGCCATAAACACTGTAAATTTTTCTATGAGCTTCTGCAGCACGCTTACCTTTTTTAAATAATACAACAAAATATGCAGATAATGAATGGCATTTCCTTACATAATCACAGTGGAATAGCTAACAAAATACTAAGCTAGTTTCAACAAGAGTTAACAGATAGAGTTGTTAACATATTACAAACAGGGTAAACAGTCCACCTTAGGGATTGATTCATCAGATAAAAAGTGTATCATAGTGACATAAAAATAAACAGAAAAACCGAAAGGACTTATTTGCCAATCCAATACATAGTAAAATTAATTTTCATAAAATTACAGCAATTTTGTTTGTATTTTTAACGATTTTAAAGTAAAACGCGTCGGAAAATTGTACCCATATTCGTGACAAACGCAAATTCTTGTGTAAGTAATAATACCTTTAGTCGAGACATTCGGCACGTTATGTGTAGGTAAAATTGTAATAATGCTACATACGGCTGCAGTCAATATTTATGCTAATTTGTATTGCATGCTTTTTATTTTATCAGTACTACTGAACATTGTACATCTGATTATATTTTCTTTAAGCATAATCAAGTATACTTCATCATTTCAATTTTAAAATTATAATTTGAATACAGAAATATTATTAAAGAATTACACTACGCCAAAACTTTAATTAACACAGTAAGTAATTAAATTCAATGTTATCAAGAGGCAGAAATGATTCAATGTTCTTAAAACTTTGAAACAGAAGAAAACGTTACGTATTTGAAAATAAAGTTATGATAAGTGTCACTTTTATTATGTACTTAATTAGACTTTTTAAGAGTGAAAGCCATCTTTTTTATTAATTTTTATCAGTGATACTCTGACCAGTTAGTTATTTAATACTGTTCGAAACACGCAAATATCCGTAATGAAATCACAATAAAAAATACAAACAACAGAATCCTAAATTCTTCGAAAAATTGTTAACGTGATATATTTCAAACTTATAGCACACAACGGCGTACACATTTTACAGTAATTGAGTGATTTCAAAATAAAGTCACATTCATCCAATCTTTTTCTCTTCCCTATCCCTGAACACAGATTAAATGGAAACTGGCCCAGGAATCTGCTTATTCACCAATAATTCTCTCAATACTCAATAAATCAAGACCAAAATTAAGAAAAAATTCACTGAAATTAAACATTTAACACCAAATTTGCTTGATGCGTTATTGCACGGTTGCAAATGTTAGTGCAATGCAATGCAAATAATAAAATTAATTAATTAAGATGTCATGCACTCTACATATTCCACCTACCTGGTAACAGATGACAGGAAGCACGGCAATGATGGAGAAGACCCAGACGAGGATGATGGAGGTGATGACCCTGTTCCTGGAGCGAGCATGATCCTGCCCGCGGACGATGGTCCAATAGCGATCGAGGGCAATGACGGTGATAGTGCCAATAGAAACCATGATGTTAGTACCCTGGACAGCGGGGACCAGCTTGCAAAGGACAAGCCCCAAGATCCAACGGCGGCGGAGGATACCGATGAGGGTAAACGGCATGCAGACCAAGCAGAGGAAGAGGTCGGAGACGGTAAGGTTGGCGATATAGAGGTTACGGGCGGTCTGCATGCTCGGCCTCCGGGCCACAACAAAGATGACGATGAAGTTGGCGAGAATGCCCGCGGCCATCAAGCAGCCGTAGACCACGATCAGGACGGCCTCCGTCACGGGGTCCACGTTCTTGTCTTCCCGGGTGTGCTCCAGCAAGATTTCGATGGCATCGTTCAGGCTGAAGTTGAACGTGCCGTTCAGTTCCATCGTTATGCACTTTTCTACATTACTAAGCGTAACCTCGCTGCAAGCCATATCCGTCCATTGTCACCTATAACACAATATACATAATGTAATTCAGTTGTGGACCATATCAGTAATACAAAACCATAATAAATATGAATGTAAATTGTAAACATTATTAAAAACCAAAATGTTAAAAATTTTATCCAGACTGAGTGATAATTAGCTGATATTTGCCCTCAGCGGGCTCGTGATCTACTTTTATCAACTGCCTTGCCAAAGGTATACAGAACGTGACCCCTACAAAAATATCGTAAATCAACTAAAACAGTGACATTATGTGTGGTTGGGCCGTTCGGAACTTAAAAAACAAAAACAATCTGAAAGAAATAATTTAGAGGGAAAATGAAGGAATGAATCTTTGTATATAGTTCGAAAAAAATTTCAGAGCCGATAAAAATATGTTATTATTATTATTAGTGAAACCTTCCTGGTGAGAGAAAAATTACAATCAGCGATAAAAATTAAATCACACATTTATAAAGTTCAATGCTATGTTATTTCTTAAAATGTTTTGTTTAATTTACGATATGAAATGTGTATTCAAAATATCAATTATAATAATATAATTGAATTACTGTTATAACTTTCTAGTGAGTGTCCTTTTACCATTGTAGGCATAAGCCAGTTAAATAAAACAATTACATGGATAAAAAAATTGATTTAATTTTAATCACGTATAAAAGTTTATTATAATTGAATAAAATTTTATCTGTACTGCCTTCAAACCATTGAACCTCATATTTGAGAAGAAACGTCGGCAAATCCGATAAACATATATTTTTGACTGCAAATCCTGACCATTTTTCATCCTCTAAAATATCATTAAGGACATAAGTCGTGAATCTTGTCAAAAATTCGAAATGAATCGTGAGCTTTTGAGCAGTGGAAGTGATTAAAAATGTAAAAGATGATTTTATCTAAGAGAAAATTAAATAAGTGAAACCTTAGGATAAATTGTAGATGGTACTGTAAAAGGGTTATTTATATTAAATCAGAAAAACAAAAATAAAAATTGGATGTAGTGCTTAAAAATATTCTACCAAAAAAAATTATATTAACAATAAGTGCACCACAGTTTAGAGTTTCTTTGATCTTCCTCGCTCCCATTAAAACTGGGTTGTTGTTTTTGTATTAATCCCGAAAAGTTTTCCTTGTCCCTTTGAGCGGCTAAACGATATCGATACTTGGAAGTTTAGGAACTCGGAGAAGGAGGAAATTGGATTAGTATCTCAGTTGACGTTTCAAATCCCTGATCGCTGGATTTGTCAGGGTCTCTTTTTCAATCGACTGTTCCACTACAAAACAAATGGGATCTTAATTTTTTTTATTTTTATATCGAGTAATCTTAAAACTTGATAGGACATCTTCACAATGACCTAATGTTTACAATGACTTCATAATAATCTGATAATAATAATTTTGATAATAATCAGTGGAAAATGACAGCACTAATCATAATTAACTGTTCTCATTTTGTTTTACTTATACTTACCTATATATGTAATATTTAGTAAGGGTAAGTATTGTGATCGTGGAAATTTTTCAGATCTGAGTTTACAACGGAAATAAACGTTTTGTGATCTCCTGATTTCAAATAACCAAGTCCCGCAAAATGGTGTGTGTGTGTGTGTGTGTGTGTGTGTGTGTGTGTGTGTGTGTGAGAGATAGAGAGAGAGAGCGCGCGAGCGCATTGCGTATTTGAGGTTTTTATAAGCCTTGGATATTACAGCAACATTTTCTTCAAAATCAGCAAACCAGAAGTGTTACTTAATATAATAGATTAAACACATTTTTCAATTAAACACTCAAAAATGGCTCAAGCGATTTTGATTAACTCAGTAAATCAGTTTGTTATTAAGCTACCTTTAATATTATGTAGGTTTAATTCTCATTGATGTTCTCTAATAGGGCTTAAATGACTAATTTTCGATATTAGTTTCCTCTAAAGTACATTTATTTATTTATTTTTTTATCTGAAATAACTAACCATTTCACATTAATCTTTGATCCATCCCACATCCAATACAACAATTATTTTTGGAAAATTTGGAGAAATACTGTGCAAGGAGTGTAACATCTTATATACCGATGCTTAAAAAAGTTTTCCGAATGAGTCTACAGGATAGAGGAAACAAAAATAAATAAAGATTTAAACATTTCATGTATTTTTCATTATTATTATTCTTTTTTTTAAACCTACAGGTAAATATTTTGAAAGTACTATTGTTTTATAGATTGGGTCTTGAGGACTTAAATGTTTTGTGACTAACAAAATGGATAATACTGCGGTAAGGACCGCACAGCTGTTTAAAACTAGCCAATGTGTATTCCGAGAGTGTCTTGTACTCGTAAAAGAAATGTCCTTAGATTGGAAATACAAAATTTAAAACAAATGCCTCTGAAAGAGGTAATTGTTGAAGCTAACAAGGAGATAGAGCTAAATCCGATTTGTTCCATAGCATATGGGATGGCTAATAAAATTAGCATATGACCTTGGAATAACAGCTAGGTCTTTAAACTGCTTCTGAAGAGGAAATCAATTCCATCAGCTCAATTCCAATCCTATCTTGGTTAGCGCTATTAAAATAATTAGAAACTGGATCAGATCTAGCATTATGGATTTTTCCGCCGATAGCGTAAAGGTAATTTTGAGCATGTAGAAATTGTTTTGTATTTAATATTTTTTTTTGTCTTATCAACAATCAGATAATCGGTGCCTTGTTATATATGTTGCACATTTAAATAGTAGTAAGAAATAATAGTTTTATCAATTCTCATTTTCAGTTTTTCTTGACAGTTAATGAGCTTTGCTTCCACGTTGAGTATTTCTATTATGGTTGAGTTGTAGGTAATGATATTTATCCATTTGTAACATTTTATAAATATAGTCATTTTCGTCCTATTTCACAGTTTTTTAGATGAACCACTAATAATAATATAGAGAACAAAACTAAAAATAACAAATAAAAGTTTACAGTTTTTATAAGTGCTGACGTTTAACCCAAACAGTTGGGTCATCATCAAAGCATAGTACTTGAATACCTTCAGTGCTTGATGATGACTCACATGTTTGGGTTGAAACGTCAGCACTAATAAAAACTTTATAATGATTGCGTCCTGAATATTTATCACCCAAAAATAGTTAAAATTAAAAATTAAAGATTACTAGAATCAAAGTTAATTAATACGATTTAAAATTAAAAATTTCAAATTTCGTTATGGTGTACAAAAATTTTTTTGTAAAACAGTTGATGATTAATCAATTTAGTAAAATGATGAAAGTAAATTAATAAAAGTAAATATACTTATGTACCTAATTATAAAAATTTACAGTAAATAGTAAAGTATATAGGTCTCATCCCTTCTCTTAGAATCGGAAGATTATGATCATTATAAGATTATAATCTTTTTTTTTTTTTTTTTTAATTTCTTTATTGATTATTATAACAATCTGTCTGTTGGACATTGGTTATAGTGAGGTAGGATGACATTCACACCATATGTACAAACAAATAAAATAAATAGAACAAAATAATAATCAAAAGTATATACAATAGACAATAAAATAAAATAACCTAAAAAATAAGAAAATTAAAACTAAGGAAAAAAAAAATAACATGCATACCTATATACAATCAGGCGAGGGAACTCCAGGAGAACCCTGCGCTACTCTTCCAACCGCGTCACTGGTACTAAAGCCAGCGGAGATTGGTCGAGAGCACTTTAGCCACATACACACATGTCTTGAGTGAAGAATCTGGCCATTGCCAGAACTCCAATTTATATAATCTACAAAAGGTCGCGAGGCCACTGCCGTTTCAACCTTCTTGGAGGATTATAGGGATGGGAGATGCTTGATAGTGATTGTGCAAGAGGATTTGGGTGGTAAGTAAGGTTCTGGTGAAATTTGGAGAATTTTTCTGGGATAAGGTCTAGGACAAATGGGATGTTAAGGTCATGATGTAGGGTTTTGTTGGATACATAGAAAGGAGCATCGACTATTGTTCGAAGGACTTTAGACTGGAAGGATTGGATGCGCTTGATGTTAGAAAATTTTGCTGATCCCCACAGTTCTAGTCCGTAAGTCCAAATAGGTTTCAGTATTGTCTTGTAGATCAGTAGCTTGTTTTCAATGGAAAGTTTAGATTTTCTGCTTAGTAGTCGGTATAGTTGGCCGTATCGTCGGTTGAGTTCTTGTCTTTTGAGTCTAGTATGCGGGTTCCAAGTTAGTCTTCGGTCTAAATGAAAGCCAAGATACCGGACTGTGTCTGAATAAGGAAGCTGGATGGAATTAAAGAGTACTGGTGGACAGGAATTGCGTCGGAGTGTGAAGGTAATATGTTGGCATTTAGTTTCATTAACTTTAATGCGCCAGTTATTACACCAGTGCTCAATCAAGGTGAGGTGACTTTGGAGATTTAAGGATGCTATTTCGGGATCAGAGTTGGATGATAAGATTGCGGTGTCGTCAGCGAATGTTGCAAGAAAAGTATCGGGATGAACAGGGATGTCAGCAGTAAAGAGGATGTAAAGCACGGGACCCAAGACGCTGCCTTGGGGAACACCGGCTTTAACGGAGTAGATATTGGAAAATTCTGTTCCACAGCGAACTCGAAAGGAGCGGTCAGAGAGGTAGGATCGGAGGACTAGGTACAAGGACTGAGGTAAATGGATTTTAAGCTTGGAGAGCAGCCCGGAGTGCCATACCCGGTCAAATGCCTGTGCAATGTCCAGAAAGGCACCCGAACAGTATTCCTTGTTTTCTAGGGCTGAGGAAATATGATCAACAACTCGGAGTCCTTGTTGAACAGTAGAATGTTGAGAGCGAAAACCAAACTGATGGGAAGGGATATTTTGGGATTCTATAATGGGTAGGATTCGTTTCAAAAGGATCTTTTCAAAAATTTTTGAAAGGATTGGGAGTAGGCTGATTGGTCTATAGGATGTTGAGCTATTGAGAGGTTTTCCTGGTTTTGGGAAAAGGATAATAGTGGAGTGTTTCCATAACAGAGGGAAGTGGGTGGTGCGTAGGATACAATTGTAGA